CCAGCTAGTCTTAAGGTATATATATATACAGTAGTTATCTACGTTTTTGCGTATGGATGCACGGGGTATAAGAAAATTGCCATTTTTTATACGAAGGGGAGACAGCCCTTAAAAGTGTTAAGAAAGGTTTGAAATTATACCAAGGGAAGCATAATATCTCAGGTATCGAATATTCAGTACAGAAGACAGCTTCAGTCACATAATAAGTTTATCACTCCTAAACAGAAGCTCCTCTATAGTACAGAACAACATAACAAAACAGCTAAACATTGAACTGAAATACGACTAAGATGTGTGTCTGGAAATTTATACGATCATAAAAAATATTTGCTAACACAATATTTTCACCAAGAAAGCTAACAAAAAATACAGTTTAAAAACATTAAAATTTTGTATTCTTGTTTCATAATATATTTATATTTGATAAGTAAAATCAAAGTTACTTTATGTGTCAATCAGAAAAAGAGAGAATAAGGGATAAATTACACCTATATTATAGAATTTAGGATAATTATATTTTGTGCTCATTCCAAAGCTACACAATGGGCTATCTGTGCTCTGCCTACCACGGGTATCGAAACCCGGTTTCTAGCATTGTAAGTCCGCAGACATACCGCTGTGCCACTGGGGGGGGGGGAGGCATTCCAAGTGTATTTTGCTATTAAAATAACACAGTTGAGGTAGGTATAAAAGTAGTCAAGTAGATTATTGACATTTTATGAATTACTTTTGAGCCCATACATAATATTCAGAAGAAATTCGAAGCAAAAGTAACTGTTCTGTTAGACTAGAACTGATTATAATTATCTATGTATATAAACTACCCATTACTTAACTATCAAGCATTGGTTTGTTAGAATACAATAACGTAAGTTAAAGTTTCTTCATCAACAACAATTCATAGTGCACTACAGAATAAAACTTGGGTGATAAGTCGATAAACAACACAGTCGACTGGGATTCAAGTTTTAACGTGGAAACACAGTCTGTTAAGAGTTGATGACGTTCCTTTCTTAAATTCTTTAGTATAGACACAATAATAATTTTATGTACAGTATGTGTTTCCCAGTGGGTCAGCTGTATGTTTACGGATTTAGAACGTTAAACTCTGGCGTTCGATTCTCCACTGTGTACAGAGCGCAGATAATTTATTCTATGATTTTGCCCTATACTATACCAACAAACTTGTGTGGGAATCGATATGCAAGTTAATTGTGTAGAAAATATAAAAACTCCTTTTGTACATACACATACAAACAATAGCTTTATAAATAATTTTATCACTACGTACTATTAGAATACAAAAGTTAAATTAACAGCCTTAAATGGTGCCCGTTAATAATGCCACCAATAATAGTGTAAAGTCGAAAAAATTGTTAAATAAAATTTTAAGCATAAAGTTTTCTCTCTATTTGGGAAAAAAATGTTGCAACTTTTTCTCTTTGGCGTTTTTACTAGTAAACACGAACCCAGGGAAAGCTGACACCAACAGTCATGGATTCGTGTTTACTTCTGAGCTGGTATATAAATACATAAAATAGATAAAACAAAAAGCAATACTTGGACATTAATGCGTAAAATGGAACTGTGTTTAAAACAAAACTCGGTGAGCACATTAAATAGCATTAAATGTTTTTTATAACTTTTACCAATTTTTTAAGGTTGCACAAACTCATTTTATGGATGCACTTTTTAATATCATTAATTAAAAAGGGGATAAAAAGCAGATTGGACCAACATATTTATATGGTATATAAATATTCAACAATCGAAAATATCAACAAGTACAGATACAAATCGAATACATTTTACACACTTACTCATTCAATCTCGTGCGTGTAAGCTATTATTGTGAACTATGTTTTGATATTTTAACACAGTTTGTATTATTTATTAGAGGGACTTTTGCCATGATATAGTGATTAATGTGCGATACTTATAAATTGCCTGAGTGTCTAAATTTGACGCGATACATAGAATTATTTTGAGGCTTGAGAAATAACAAATATCCCACAACAAGAAGACACTGGCAAGTGCCTTAAAAAGAAGCTGCACGAGTGGCATATAAATAAATAGACTTTAAAGAACAAAGGAAATGACCTGGGTTGAAATGACCATGCAAAGAAGAAAGGGAAATGAGGTCGAAGAAAATATCTAAAGCCACTCAAATTCTGGGGCAATCAGGGAAGATGATGACTTCGTCCCTGTGGTAAATAGTGAGGGAGAAGACCAAGACAAAAGCAAGTGATGGCTTTCATAAGGGAGTAGGAGAAAAATACGTCTAAAACATATAAAAAGAGGTTGAACCACACCAAAGAGATGTTAGAGATGTAAAGTCTGGGACAGTATACCAAATGAATGGAAATAAAAAGTGAAGAAAATGCCCATAGTGGAACAAATCCATTGAAAACATCAGAAGATGGAGTGTGAAGAGTCCTGGCCAAGGTGAGATAGTTGATCTACTACCAGGGCCTGAACTATCAGGACATCATAGACTGACAATTAAATGTGACATTCATGGGCCCAAAAGAGAAACTTCAGATCCAGAAAAACAAGGGAGGTGTCTGAAGGGATAATGATAAGAAGACCAGGCAGAGGAGACAGAAGATGGCAAGCTTGTGGAGTAGCAAACAGCTTTAGGATGTAGAAACATAGAATCCTCTCTTTAGAGACCAGATGCAGCAAATGAATCAGGTACCAGAACAGCACCCCACTACAAAGACAGTGAAACACTGTGGCCATAGGATTGATTGTTGCGAAGTGCAAAGCCAACACAAAGTGCCACCCACTATGCACACCACAAATATAGAAACCAATATGGAAGGAGAAAGAGCTCACAAACTGACTTCCAAGCCTTGGAAGGCTCCAAACAAATATAAGTCTAGGTAAAGTGGGGGAAGAAAGAATTTCAGGAGTGAAATTGGATCGATTCAGCAATCATGACTGGAGATACCTGCAATCACAGGCCAAAAACCACTGAAAAGAACATGTAAGAGCACACCCAAGAGGAATGAGGAATTCCAGAGAAAATACTTCAAAAAAGAATTGTGTAGAAAATGAAGGAGATGTGAGAGCCCTGGTATCAAAAGCTCCATGCCACAAAGATAAGGTGGACTGAACCCACCCCTCACACAAAGCTGGAGAGACTCCAACAGAATGAAATAGAGGGTGGGAGTGAGAATGAAATGGAACGCTAAACCAGTCACCCGAAATAAGATGACTCCTGAAGAAGAACTGATGTTGCAACAAAGGGAACTACACTGGAAGTGGCGAGTAGAATATGTTATAATATGTCAAACACACTACATCTGCCATATCCAGTGCCACTGAGGCCTTTTGACCAATAGCACGGCTCATCAGGCTGGCGGGGATACAACAGACAGAGTATAGCAAAGCACTAAAGCTATCTGATATCATCACTAATTTTGAACAAATGGCCAAAGGCAAAGTAGCCAGTGAGCAGCATCCTGCCACACACCATCGTCACATGGGATTGACTGTCACTCTTATAAAGTACTACAGCTTAAAGTACAGGAAATCTTCTGTGGTATCATACAGATTCGAATCTGGCTCACCAATATTTTAAAATCCAGTGCTCGACGATTAGGGCCAACCTGCACCCTCTCAGCAAGTTAAATGTAATCTCTATTCAGAAGTTAGGTCTATTATTAGCTATGTGAAACTTGTACAAGTTATACTTGCAGTCATAGAAATAAAACACTTTCATTGCTATTAAGTGGCCTGGACTTTGCATTCTTATTCTTACCAAATATTACAAAAGAACCCACCCAGCAAATGAAACTG